TCAAGATTATATTAGGTGATAAGGAGCACCGTGCATAACTAGTTAACGTGAAAGCATTTAAAATGAATGTAAAGTTTACAAAAGACTCATCAGGTCTATATAAACTGATCAGCTTCCTGGAAAAACTAAAATAAATAAATTAAAAAAAGTTATTGCTGAGTTTTTAATAGAATATTTGAAAACTCCCTGAATTACCTTTTCTAATTTATATTCTGAGAACAGAAATATATCTGACAGATATTCTGTAATCGAAATAATAAATTTTTTAAAAACAGCTTGAAGGGTGAAGCGGTGTGAACTGAAAAAGATAGTAAGGCCACAACTACCAGAATATGGTGAAATTTACTGTCTTTCTGGCTCTATGTAAACGCCAAATAGTTCAATAGATTTTACAGAAGCATTTTGGTAACGATTTTGTACAACAAAAAAATATGGTTGTATATTATGCGATAAAACTTGGTGATTGTGCTGCAATTTGGTGATTTTATCATGATAACTTTAGCATGGCAGAAAAACCATTAATTCGTTTAAATATACTTTTCAGTTTTGTATTTGTTACTGATGTGTGGTTATATGAACTATATTTTTGAAAACAAGAATTTCCAGTAAATTGTTATCATATAAATGGGTAATTTACCAAGTGTATATTTTAGTTTTATTAACCAGAATTATGATTTGTTTACCAGAATATCATTGCCATACTGTAAGGTAATTTTACTAGAAGTTTTGTTTCAGAATTTCTTTCTTCTATTAGACAGTTTGAGATTGAAATATTCCATAAAGCGAAATCAGTCGTTATAAAATTGCTTAAAAAAGTGCGTTTGGTGTCATGAAGTGTAAAGAATTCAAATTTTTATATATTAAGAGAATTGCTTTTTCCTTTCTTCTTAGACTGAACTTAAAGTTCAGTGGTATAAATTATTTTTGAAAGTTTTTCATTGATGATCTATATGTGACCGGCAAAGTATGAAATGCCTAGGCATTATATATAATGCCTGACATTTTTAGGCAAAGTATAAAATATGAGAAATATTACATACTTTGCCTAAGCATTATATATAATCCCGGATGCTATTTAGGCAAAGTATGAAATAAACGTCCTGATGAGGTTACTATGTAAATGATGTGCATGTTACTGTGAATGACGGAAATCGGTGGTTGTTGACTTTCACCGGTGAATGTTGACAATCACATAGTCGCTTTGGTGAATGTCCGAAATATTTATTACATCCGATTTGATATTAATTTATTCGTGGATATAATTACATTTATTCCATATTTTAGTACTTACTGACGATAGATTAAAAGAAACACCAGTGATCTTAAAAAACCATTGCCCGGTATACCCTACACTGATGTTTTTTTAAAGTAAAGGGCCACTGCCCGTTATATATTTGACTGATACTCCAAACACTGATGTTTCTTCTAATCTATCGTCAGTAAGTACTAAAATATGGAATAAATGTAATTATATCCACGAGTAAATTAATATCAAATCGGATGTAATAAATATTTCGGACATTCACCAAAGGGACTATGTGATTGTCAACATTCACTGGTGAAAGTCAACAGCCACCGATTTCAGTCATTCACAGTAACATGCCCATCATTTACATAATAACCTCATCAGGACGTTTATTTCATACTTTGCCTAAATAGCATCCGGCATTAGATATAATGCCTAGGCAATGTGTGAAATATAAATCATTTCACTCTTTGCCGGCTAGTTTTAGGCATTATATATAATGCCGGATTTCATACTTTGCCGGTAACATATAGAAGATGACTTCTACTTTCCTTTAAAATAGTTAAATATATAAATTAAAAACTTGAAAAGTAGTGAGTATGTTCTGACGTGACTTAGATTGAAATATCTATTAAAATAGTGAGTTCGTTTTTAAAAATATATATTTCTAAATTAAGTTCCTTTTAACTAATAGTTAAACTATCATCTTGAAAACAATCTCCGAGATCTAATTAAGAATAGAAAAAACGTAATAGATAAATATTAACCAGTTCATTAGCGCAAAATCTTTAGACTGGAAATTAATATTTTGGTGTTGTTTAAAAAAAAGGTTATTGACACACGTATTTTTGAATGAAAAAATAGTGAAATAAAACAATTATGTCTGGTTTTGAGTTTGAAAGAAATAATCCAATTTTATGCAACAAAGGCATCACTCTGAAAAATGCTTGTTTTAAAAAATAGTTACTGACATGATAAAAGATTTTTTTAAAATATAAATCATATTGCTAGGAATGTACAATTTTTTAATTAACTTCTTGATAAGACAGTTTGAGCATTTTTCTGAACAGTTTCTAGACATAACTTTAATTACATTTTTTCCTCTTTTTTATTATCAAATGAAAAATGACTTTCTTTATGATAATTAATTTATACTTATGAAATTTATTTTTTATAACCTAAAATGTTTTCTAAACATAATTAAAAATTATTTTTTAAGTGTACATTATTGAACAGGAATTAATATATGAATGTTATATGTGTAGTTAAAACATATATGCGCAAGTTACATAAAAGAAAATCATAAATGTTAAATAGAAAAAAAATTAAAAGCATATACGCTTGATATATTTATTTTAATATAACTAGTATGTTAACTATACATTTAACATATGCATTTATTTAATATATGGTTTGTTTATAGATTTATATATTTGTTTATACGTTTAATATATTTATATTAATATAACTAGTATGTTAACTATACATTTAACATATGCATTTATTTAATATATAGTTTGTTTAGAATATGGTATAGTTGCCCTTGAATTAATTATTATTATTTTTATTAATTATTGAATTGTCATAATAGCACAAGGCTAGGTGAAAGAGCAGCGAGTTTGTGGTGGTAACTAAATTATGGCTGCCAAGGGTGGTTGGTGACTCATTTGATTCTAAACAATTTTCATATAATTTTTTAAAACAAATTATGATTATTAAAATGAAACAATGAAATTTTATTTTTAATAAAAATTAAAACTTTTTCTTTTGAGATTCGGAAAGTGTTATGAATAAAGAACAAAATATTACTAACAAGTGTAATATCCCGTATAAGGAAAGTTTTAGTTTGTAGAAAGGGAAAAAAGGTGAAGTGAACTGATCTCGAAATTTTTCATTTCAGAAAAAGTTTTAGTTTGTTTTAGAGTCTTACTTAAGTAGCAGGACTGAAAGTGCCAGTTTAGTAGAAGTGGTTACGTATTTGAAACGTGCTTATTAACAACTCGTAAATGTTCGAGAAGTAAACTAAATGCTCAATAGCAGAAGCATGTTAAAAATCTTGCCAGAAATATGACATGGGTTAAACAAAATAAAATATGTCTCATCTTGTTTGCTTTTAATTATTAAAACTGTTAGGAGCATTTGAACTGATGATACTTTTAATTATTAACACTATTTTCATGCATGAAATTCATTAATTGCTTACGCAAACACTTTAAATTACAATTTCAAATCGCAGAAATATTAAAATAGAAGTTTGAATTAAAATTTATTTGCTGAGCAATTGTAAAGAATAACATTTGTTCAAAAAATAAAAAAAGACCAGGCTTATTGAATGGTTAGACACGATGACCTAAAAATAAAATTTTTCTTTACTAGTAATCCGGTGTTTAAAAATTATTTTTTTCCCTTTCCTTTTTTTCATTTGAAGGTAACTTATTAAATTGCAGACTGACATTTGAGGTTTATATTCTTTTGGGAGTTCTATTTCATTAATTTTTCTATCTTTTTTTTTAATTAAGAAAAAGAATTTTAAAGAGTAAGGTGACGTCAAACGAAAAGTATTTTTTAATATTTCATTGGTAGCGCCTACTATGATTAAACCATCGAAACCCTAGACATTGCAGGGACTTTTATTCTTGTTGAAATGTAATGAATTTATATTGAAAACTTATGTCAGATATCATTATTTTAAATTTGAATAGCAATTGTTTATATAACAACTGAAACAAGAAAAATTAATTCAAAATTTTTTGCTAGATAGCAATAATTAATATCATATAGATTTATACTTACAAGCCTTAAGATTTACAACTATTTAGAAATTGTGAGTCGTAAAAAATGAGCACTCGAAAAAACGGTTTCTCAAAATTGAGCAAAAATATGTCAAAATAGCTCCAAAACAAATGCATTCGAATTTAAAAAACTTCAGGTATTCACAAACTCAGGGAATTTTTTTTAAATCAAATAATAATAACCTAATAAATAATATCATACAGGATTATACTTTTACACTCACTAAGATTTACAATTAATCTGTGAATTGTAAATTGTAAAAAATTTACACTATAAAAAACGTTTCTGAGCAAAATGGGGTTAAAATAGCTCCAAAACAAACATGGTCAAATTTATAAACTTTATGCATTGAAAACTGAAACAGAATATATTCATTTCTAAGCTAAATGCATAGTCTAAAAAATGCGTGAAAGAAATGCTCTTTGGCTAACGTTTCATTCAATTCTTGTTTTTTTAATAAAAGAAATTTTACTGTCTGCTGCTATGTAATCATATAGATAAAAAATAATCGCAGTAGTAGATAAGTTATTATAATAATTTCATTCTGCTTTATTCTGACTTATGAGTTCTATACAAAGCGTTTTAACTCTCCCCGGACTAGGTTGTACAACTATGGTTAGAGTATTTTACTATCTAGAGGTCCTTGTTTCAAATTCTGCGGACAGCCAACAATCACATTTCTCCCTTTACTTCATTTTTGAGATTATGCATTTAGCTTAAAAATGAGTATATGCTGTTTCAATTTTAAATAATATGCGGTTTTTCAAATTCGGTTATGTTTGTTTTGGAGCTATTTTGGACACATTTGATCAATTTCGAGAAATCCTTTTTTGCAGTGTATAATTTCGATAGAAACGCTATTTCGGTCAGTAAATATACATCATAATCTATAGAAACATATAAATAATAATATATTAACAATTAATATTGTTATAAACGAAAAACGAAATTTCTAACTTACCATGTGTAAAAAGAAAACCACTGAACCAGCTGTTCTTACTAATGGAGAAAATCTCAGTTCAAGATACTGAAATAAATTAAACAAAGAATAAATTTAGAAAATAGAAGTATGCATGTATTATTATTTCACTTTTGAGTTATCAAGTATTTCAAATTAAATCACGAAAGGGTGAGTATTTTGAGAAAGATATTGAATTTCATGAAGTTGTTAATCTACATAAATAATTTTCAGATTAAGTACAATTGTATTAATGTTTCTGTTCTATTTATTGCATTAATATATTAGTATATAAAAACACGTCAAAGTATATGCTTATAGTTATTTTAGAATGTTTTCATTTCGCATAGCAAATAGTATGAGTGCTTATTATTTAATATACTTATGCATTGATATATAAAAACACGCACAAACTCGATTATTACAAATATTAGATTTTTAGATAAACAAATATTAGATTTTTAGTAATTTAAAAGAGTAATGATATTAAAAGTGTAAAGATAAATGAAATGTAATGATATTCAAGTAATTAAAAAAAGTAATGATAAAAGTGCACGATTCGCTTATGAAATTCCTATCCTCCACAATATTTAATAATATTATTAAATTGTAATGTTCATTAAATTATAATAATTGATTAAATATCAATTGTTGCTTCATTATAGTATTATATATAGCAAGCATTATATATAATAAGTAGTATATACAGCAAGTGTTATTTATAGCAAGTATTATACGTAGCAAGTATTATATATAGCAAGTATATAGCACTTGTCTTATATATTATGTCCATGTCTTATATATTGAGTGTCATAAATGTACTTCCGAGTATTATTTATTAAAAAAAGTGATGTTTTAAGTAAGCTAAATACCAGGTAAAATTAAGTTAAAGCATTCATTATTTAGTATACTATTCGAGATAAGTAGTAATTTAATTCTCACTGTAGAACTTGAAGATATGTTTTATAATGGTACTATCTTTATGCCCTCACAAGTGTGCTTGAAATTAGTGACATTATAAATGTTTTTCTTAGTTATAATGTAACGTTATTTTCTTATTAGACCGTAACTATTGACTATTTGGATAAAAGATAACATTTTAATACTTTGTATACCAGTAGTTTTTTTATTACAAAATATACAAAAAACAAATTCGAAAATTAGAGAGTATATTAATAATTAATATAGAAAATAATCTTATTAATCTTTTCGATATTGTCTTAATAATCTGTCAAGTAATCAAAAGAAGTTTGGTTTCCTTTTCACAATTCCCTTTCATTTCATTATTTTTAAGTCTTTTAAGAAATTTTTTGTTACACGTAATTAAAAGTTACCATCTTTTGTGAATTATTTTTTAAAATGCACATTTAATTCCGTTGTTTTAAATTTATTCAATTTTGATTTTTTATTATATTTTAAAGTCATAACAAAAGGAAAATTGTATTAAAATATTAATTAGTTGTTGGAAAATAGTATAAAAAATTATAACTGGATTTAAAAATCCTTTAAATAAGAATTCAGATTAGAAAAGATTCTTTATTGATGCCCAAAATATATTACGCTGAAAATAAGTAATTAAAAGGGAAATTTATGCAGCTCAAAAAAATCAATAGAATAACAAAATGTATAGGAAAGCAAAATCTATGACAATCAAACAAATCTGAAAATTTGAATTCGAAAGAATATGACAAAACTATTTATTTCACGGATAATTTAAAAAGTTATGGAATTGAGTGCAAATATTTCGAAATGCAAGCAATAAAAATATGAAAAAAAATATTTGTAGTAAATTTTCAATTCAGAAAATGAAATATTTAAACTCGAAGTTATTTATAAATTTTAAATTCTTAATTACACTTCATAAATAATTCAAAGTGTCTCAAGTACAGATTTCTATTTAAGAAATAAGTTTTTGAGTTTTATGATTTATCTTTGAGAAAAAAAAATAACTAACTAGTTAAACATTGAATTTTTCAAATTTTTGCAGAGACGAACTAAAATCAATATTTTTCGAAACGTTAAAGGAAACGTGAATTTTTAAAAACAATGTATATAGAAATTATCTACATAGGAATTATCTATAGAGAAATTATCTATATAGATAAAGGGTTTTTATAAAACTCTGGAATAAGTCTGAATTTCTTTATGCTAGGTGTTAAGGATAATGAAATTTAAATACATCACTAAAGAAAAGCAGTATTCTACATCTCGATACGAAAACGTACTTTCTCTGAATAAACATACTTTTTTTTCGACAGATTAAGGTTTCTGACTCCCAAAATACAGGGGTAGCCACAATCTGGGAAATAAGGTCCCGGAGAGCGCTCAAAAGTTTGGACCAGTTAACGTTAATTTTAATTTTTGCATATATCGCTACATCTAGAGAACCTTTTAAGCGATTTCAAAATTTTTTACACACAATTATAATAAACTCGATTATCTAAAGATAATTTCAGACAAAAAATACATTTTAGTAAATATGTATTAGTTTTATTATTTTATTTAAGAATGGTTGAAAAATTTTAAAAAGTAAAGCATACCATTAATGTAGTTTTAAAGAATGTAATTTTATGTGGTAAAATACGAAAGTTGAGCAAAATCGGTCAAATAGTTCCTGAGAAATTTAATTTCAAGAAAGTCAGATACTTAAAATTGGGGTCAGAAATCCAAAACCGTCAAAGAAAGAGATGTTTATTCAGAGAAAGTATGTCGACACTAATTAATTAGCATATTTGAGGTAACCATCTCGAACCAATAAGATTGAGTCGTAGAACATGGAAATCCGATAATTAGAATAAGAGTTATTAGGGTGGTCCTTTTTATTTATTTATAAATTTTTCTTACCACTGTAAATGAAATCGGTCACAACTTAATAGCATGAGAGCACAAGTGCTTATTATAAAATAGATGAGAACTCAGAGCGCGACAATTTAAATAAGATCACACTACTTTCACATATTGCTACAAATAGGTGTCTGATAATCGGCATTCGGATATTCACCAAGATTTAATGGAGATTTTAGTTTTTAAGAAAAAACGAATCGTTTTTTGAGAATTGAAGAGATTACACCATTCTTTACAATTAAGAAACAGAAGAAATGATTTAGTAAATGTTTGCTTTAATCATTAACATATGAATTCTTTGTCAAGATTTAAAATTATAGTTTATGAACTTTTAATTTTCTTTTATTTCGAATTTGGTTTAATTTATATTTAATGATGGGATAATATTACTAAATTATAAGACAAAATATAACGATTTCAGTCAAATTTGTTACTTGATAAAAATAATTCAAAGTAAACCTTTCTTAGTTAAAAATGTGTAGGATTATCGTGTAAAAATTTGTCCCTACTAAATCGCTGATGTAGCACCTTTATAATAGAATAACATGCTTATAAAACTCAAATTAACTAGTACTAATAGTTATGTATATTAAGCAGCGCAAACTGTAATTTAACAAAAATTTAAAACTCGAATGTATGAAAACGAATATATTTTATAAAAACTTAAAGATTTATATTACTGTAAACGAAATATTAGGAAGAGGTTTCTTTTTTCAAAAAGGAAGACTTCTTAAACTCTAAGGGTGGAAACAAAATTGAATAAATAGAATATATAAAATATAATATTCTCGTAAAATGGAAAAATGAAGCATTATAATATATTTAAAAAAAATATTTAAACGAAAAGAACTTTATTTAATTCGTTTGAAGAATTATATAACTTATAATCAAATGGAACAGGACATTGAAGCAGAAGCAAAAGTTTCCTAATATTTAAAGAATATAGTTTTGCAATATTCAATGAAAGCTATTCATCTAGAGTTACTAAATATCAGTAAAATCTCTTCTAATAATTTCATCTTGATGCTTTTCTGAGTTAAAATATTATTTTCACAAATACTTTTGTCATCTAAAGAAGAAGATTTTAGAAAAGTTCATACCATTAACAGGAACAAACTCTTAAAAAGTAATATTATGACATATGTAATATGTATATGTAAAATGCGCATTTTTAGTGAAATGCTTACTCTTAAATTTTGATTTTAAGTCAAGTTGACACTCCACTTTTATTAAATAATTATCACAAAGCTCAAATAAGAAATTTACCAAGATTTTTTCTCTTTCATTGAACTTTGAATTAAAATATAATTTTCACGAATACTTTTGTTACCATATGAATTGTCTTCGATGCTTTAAAAACATTCTTTCCTGATATGCACTGTAAAAAGAATTCCGTATCAAATAACTGTGAAATGTACTGGTACCTAAGGTGCGCCGGTATACTTTATCGTAAAATTTCACGGAACAAACCATAATTATATAACCATGATATACAGTAATATTGCAAAATTACAGAATAACAGTAGTTAAATAATTATTACAGTTAAATACGGTATAAAATTTTACGATTAAAATTGATTTCACTGTAAAATTAATTATAAGAATGAGGCACCAAGGCTGCTGGTATTTTTACCGTAATATGAAACGGAATTTTTTACAGTGTGGATTAGAGTAGATGATTTTATAGTAAATAATGTTGACAAAACTTTTAATTGATTGGTTAAATAATTGCTTATTGAACAATAATTTTGATTCTGTTTTCCAAAGTAGAGTTTCAAGCAAATAATAATAATAATTATTATTATTTTAAATTTTTGAAATAGATTGAAAGTACGAAAATTGGTTCACAGACGTTGACAACATTACCAAGTAGACAATAATGCAAAAAGAAAAGAAAGAACAGAAAAAATGGGATATGCGATACCCCCACCAGCTATTTACGTTTTTGACAGGCAGAACCTTTTTTTAGAAATGCTTGATTCCAAAATGTTTGAAAAGTAAACTAGGTATTTGTTCTGACAGTCTTTTGTAAGCTTAAGCTTTTCTATGAAAACGGTATGCTTATTAAATTTGTAAGCGTTTGAGTGACTCAAGAGGGGACAAGTTTTAAAAGTAATGTAATCTTTTTGAATTCTAAAGGAATAAAGAAATACTAGCAACTCAAAGAAATGAATTTCCAAAAAATATTGAATTGATGTTGTTTTAAAATTCAGTAGCTAAACGTA